TCCCATATTGATTTCAATTTAAGAGCCACTGGTGGGCAGCTGTTTCAGCCTATTGGGCATCGTCAGTACCGGGCAGGCGGTCCTCGAACACAAGCGAAACATAAGTGGTGTGACACCTATTGTCACACCTATCACCGCCAAATCAACTTGCCAAGTTTTTATGTCAGTGTTGGTGGTTTGGTCTGTCTGTGCGAGCTAAGGACTAACGAGGTCTTACCTTTTAACGTGTGATTCCTAACACGGCGTTAACAATTTGAAAGTAATTAGTCTGTTCCGTTCTACCTTCCGTTCCCCTACTCTACTCGATGTGAAGATCCAAAAAATGATGCCCTTTCATAAAAGATTGAATCTTACATAATTCGATTCGGGGTTAGACACTTTATGATATCTGGAGGCAGTGGTCCTCTGTGTTTGGAGTGTCTTTAAAAAAATGGTTTTAGTTGGACCTGGAAACTTATCAGTAGGTAGCATCCCATTTTCTGCATGGTCTCGACCATCAGAAAGCAGGAATTGGAATCCCCGTATCTTCGTAATAATTGAGGTAAAACGATGAAACTCTCCGGACTGATAAAAATGGTCAAAATGCACCTACCGCCTGAATGGGGTTGGCCAAAGTAATATACAATGCCCGCCACTCGCGATGGAACAACCCATTTTTACGGTAAAACATACTAGGGGGCAAAATAGTTCGCACCAATACCTGAACCCCTTCATTCTATCTGGAGAGTACCCTCAGGTACTCGTGGATTTTCTCGAAAATGCATTTTCCGATGTGTTGAAAGAACTGCCATTAGATGTGAGACACAATATGATTTTTCAGTTAGATGGTTTACCAATTCACAATAGTAGCATTACAACGGTTAGGTTGAATAGGAACCTACCTATGAAATGGATAGGACCCAATTGCTCTTTCGTAGTATGACTATCACGATCCCCAGATCTTACTTCACCGGTTTTTTATTTATGGGGAACGTTGAAAAATAAAATTTATAAAAATAGGCTAACAAATAGGGGAATTCTCCGTGTAAGAATTATACGAGTGTGTAGAAAAATCACACCTAGAGAAGTGAGAAGAGTTCGATGAAATAATAGAAAGCGCATAGAAAAATGTGTTCGCTTGGAAGAAAGTTTGATAGAAGGCACAAAAATATGAAATTGTCAACAATTGAATCATTTGAAATAGATTGTTTTATTTTTTAATTGAAAACGTGATATTGAAAGTAATACTTCGAGAAAGTTTTGAACTACATAATTTTTTTACCACAAAACCACTTGGTTTTCTGAAAATGATGGAAAGATGAGAACCTGAATTAACATTAACCACCCTAAAACCTCACTGATATCATGTATCTATTCCACTTACAGGTGTTATAATAATAACACCTGACACCAAAATAAAAAACAAATCATAAATGTGAGAACAAAAGTCGTTTCTCTGAAACAATTGATTTTTGATGTAAAAATTCTGATTTTCTAGGAAGGATCCGTATTTTGATGTCAAAACCAAAAAAATATACTTCAATAATTACGGAAGATATACTGGGGTGTTTCCATGAAAAGTGAAACAAACTCGGATTTTTCAGGACTGAAATTTTTCAGGGAAAAAGTATGTTCAGTAAATTGGTGGTCCTGATCACGAACCTGATAGGAATTTTGAGCTTATTTTACTCCCTAGTATGTTTCACCGTAAAAATGAGTTGTTCCATCGCGAGTGGCGGGCAGTGTATACCACTTTCGCCAACCCCATCCAGGTGATATGTGCATTTTAAGCATTTCTGTCAGTCCTGAGAGTTTCATCGTTTTACCTCAATTATTACGAAGATACGGGGATGTTTCCATGAGAAGTGAGCCACACTGTATATATCGTGTCATTGAGGATAATGAAGTTAGAAGATGTAGCCAAACGAAAATGACATCCTTGTGTATTTGTATGGTCCAGATTACTGCCGTTTGAGGCAAGCTGATATGATCTAGAGGTTCAAGAATAGAAATGATCCCAACATTCCACAACTTCTAAAATCAGAACAACAATTTCAAGAAAGTGTTTCGGAGAGAATCTGCAAATTTCAAAGATTGATTCTCAATATTTTTCTCCTTTCGAATAGTGATTGTATCACCAAGAACCCAAAACATCATGACGAATATCGTTTTTCTTTTAATGTGATGATAGAGGAGGGGGTTACATAGGTCTAATAATTATTTTATATCTGCCATAGAAGTACGGAACTTGTTACTACAGTTTTCGTTACAATGCATCATGACGATAGACAACATATGTTCAAGACATTCCCTTAGCAAAAGCATATCTCAGTGGCCTCGCGGCAGGCCCGTTATTGGTGGTATATATAACCAGTTCAATTTTTTGAACATATCGAGATCTTCAGTTTTCAAGAGTGTAATGATCTCTGCGGCTTTCAGGTGGGCTTTTCACGGAACGAGTGCTATCTAGGTGACTACGTTCTGGTTACCCGTTAAATGTTGAAAATCAAGTTTATCGGAGCAGCTGCTTGCTCCAATTCCTGCTTTCTGATGGTCGAGACCATGCAGAAAAAAGGATACTATCTACTGATAAGTTTCCAGGTCCAACTAAAACCATTTTTTTAAAGACACTCCAGACACAGAGGACCACTGCCTCCAGATATCATAGAGTGTCTAACCCCGAATCGAATTATGTAAGATTCAATCTTTTATGAAAGGGCATCTTTTTTTGGATCTTCAAATCGAGTAGAGTAGGGGAACGGAAGGAAGAACGGACCCTGCAGTTAGAACGGACCAGACTAATAACTTTCAAACTGTTAACGCCGTGTTAGGAATCACACGTTAAAAGGTAAGACCTCGTTAGTCCTTAGCTCGCACAAGTTTCTCAACTTCTGAGAGTTGTCGTTCGTATGGGGGCGACAGCTGATTAACGGAAAAACAGAACAGAAAACAGATTATCGACTTGCGTCAACCTGACAGTCGCCTTTCACTTAGAGTTGGTCAGTGTCCATGAAGCGGCCTTCAGCCTTCAGTTTTATTACGTTAAAGATATCAGGGATTTTGTATTATGGTATGATATAGTGTTTGTTTTTACTTAGTTTTAACATTAAATAGACAAGATTCTCCTCAATCCTAAGCTCAAAATAATTTATTGTTTACATGCCTACCGAAAAAGCAAAACGGAACGGGCAAAATGGACCACGTGGTCCGTTTTACCTTCAATGCAATTGGTTTGTGATTATACATACATAATTTTATATTAAAAATAGGTATTTCAGATGGTTAACAACAGCAGCGACCACTGATATTGAGATGCCAGAAGCAACGTCAAGAGATAACGAATCAGGACCATTGATGATTCAACCCGAAGAAGCGCTCATCATCGACGAACTGAATCATCAGTAACTGCCGATCATGCAGTTATTCAAATAAATATGACACCACCTCTAGTCACTGATGAGACATTTACAGCGGAACCTGGCACATCTAGCGTTTGAAGGTGTCACTGAACCATCGTTATCAATGACTGATAAAGATTTGAACACCGCTGTACCACCGCCATCAGCATCAAGTGATCAGAAAATTTACCAAAATAAAGATCTAACCAGCAATGATGAGCAACAACCATCTACGAACACATCCTTTTCTATTGTTCCAAAAGACATCATGGCCATCCCTAAACGGACTAGACCTAATATTAAGCGAGGAAAGACAGTCGAAATAACATCATCACCCTATCACGAAGAATTTGAAGCACAGGAAACGAAAGAAATCGCAAAGAAGGTGAAACAGAATCTTTTTACTGGAAATAAGGGGATAGGCAAACAAACAAACACACAAAAAGAAAAAGGAAAGAAATCTACAAAGAAGAACTCTAAAAAGAAAAGCAAAGACTCATCTAGCGAAGATGAAGAAGACGTACGATGTTTCTATTGCTCTCATTTATTTTCTGAATCAACAGAAGACTGGGTACAGTGCCCCGCATGTTCTTTATGGGCACACTGTAGTTGTGCCGGTGTCGAAGATAATGATGAAGATGTTAGATTTGTTTGCAAAAGGTATGCAGTTGAATAAATAGTAGAGATTTTTTTTTCGTTCATAGGTCCATTTTGCCTTCATGACTGGTTCATTTTACCTTCACGTGTAGACAGAATGGACAAAACCGAGGGTTTTGGAAATCATCCAATATCTTCTATATCTGTGATTTGATTCAAGTGATCCTTAATAATAAGTTTGATTAATAAATTCTCAATTATATAATAACAAAGAAAAAAGAATGAAGATTTTATTTTTATGTTACATTGTTTTTTCCTTAACTGGTCCGTTATACCTTCTGTTCCCATAATACCGAAACGATAAGTAACAGAGACTTTTCCTGGCAGTTCCGATAACCAGATATATCTAAGTTTCTGTCATATGTGACAGATGCACCATACTCGTAGCTAGATAGATCTACAGTATCCACAAGACGCAATTTAAACGGAAGTGGGAAATTCACACTGCACGGTACGAGAACTATCTTGAGATTTGAATATTGGAAACATTCAAAAAGCAGAATACCATCTTTTTGCAGGTAGTTACTCTCATCCTTCAAATGGCTGAAGATGACTTCCACTGAAGGACTGAATTCTGCTTGTATTTGATGGACCAAAATGATATAGATAACAATTTTCTTGCTAATATTTCATTTACAAAAGTGGCAACGATTTATCTAAATATGTTGGGATTTTAATATACAAAACAATTGTTATTTGTCGAAATATACACGGTTGTGAGAAAAACGTTATCAATTTTAAGCTAGAGATTCCAAATATATGTATCACGTATAACATTCCAATTTTTTAAGATATCTTGCCTACCCGAATCACTTTGAAGTATCTTGTGATAGCTGAAAAATGAAAAACAAAATGGATGCTCCATTAAAAAGACCGGTGATGACATCATTATTCGAAAATAGCTCACCCCGTATATTAAAGTAGTGTGTGAAAAACCATTAGATCAAACTCATCCTGTTTCTGTTTACTTAGGTGTTAATGAACTTATGTCTCACTTCACTATTTGCTAATCTGAATAGTTCATCTTTACTCCTAGGAATCCGTTAAATTGATTTTCAGATGATGAAAGCTCAACAAAAAGTTACAATTTTCACTAATACGTTACAATGAGTTTCAATTCATAGTTGATACATTTTTAAGGTGAAAATTGTGACTGAAAATTTCAAAAAGCTAGTTTGAACGTCTTCAAATATTAAATCATCTAAAGGAACAATTTGTTCAGGCCAGTCTCAACTCCCTACACTGTAGGTTAATGGATTGACACCGATTAAAAAACAACTACTCTCCTGGCTTATATTCTATAGGTGTCAGTGCAGGATTCTTCACTGAATTTATTCCTGCATATGCTGTTGGCGATACAACTGCTGCAATAGATTTTCAATTATTGGAACTCACTTGCAGATCGATTTCGGGCTGTTAAGCTATTTATCAGTGAAAGGTAGTGTCTATCATGAACATAAAGTCAATGATTTCCGATAATTGAAAATCGAATTTCTTCAGAGTATCATTTCTCGAACTAGGCTGAAGCGGACAACAAACAACAGATTTGTCATCGCCCCATCTGCCTGTGAACGAGGTAACCAACCGCATATCCGAAATTTGCCCAATTATTCGTATAACTGACTATATGTTGCAATATAGAGTTTGAAATTTGTGTCCATATGTTCAATCTCGGATTTGCCAAATACAAGTTGTAATTTCCAGAAAAATCTAAATTTCAAGTTTGAAAGTTCTGCGACCATTTTCGTGCAGAATGAAATTCGAAGTTTCATAATTTCATGTTACCGAAATATTCAATTATTCAAACGCTATTACTAGAAGATTTTGCGTAATGTTCTCGATACAATAATGAATTGGCTTGAAAGTAGGCTGCTTAATAGTAACTTAAAAAACATTCACTACTTGCCATCCAGCTGCAATAATTCGAACCGACCATTTTCTCTAAACGTCGGTCGTTAGTTTTCCTGAAAAAAAGTTGTATATGAACATTTCAAAAGGCACGCACAAATTCAAGTGGAGGAAAACAAGTTGGCCCTCTGTCAACTAACCACACACTTGGTATCTTTCAATGACTCTTGCAATGTTCCAAAAAAAGTAGCAATATAAATATTTTCAAAACCCTCGATTTCAACAGAAGTTTTTTGTTGGGGGGTTATGATTTTGCTTTTTGTCCATTCTTTCATTATATAATAGTAACTTACCAAGATATGTTACCACCTACGACAGTTATGACACTGCTCTATCCATTAGCACACTAGCACACTATACCAATTTCAATCAATTAGCTGTTTGTCTTCAGAACTAGTCAGTACTTTTCTTGCTACACTACTTTATTTCATTTCAAAAATATATCATAAACTTTTATATCAAAGGAAACGCTCAAAAAAATGAACGGCAAAAATGTGTGTGATTGATGATTGGTTTATTTTGTGGTAACTCATGATCACTTTAATGAAATGAATAAAAACACCTTTGTCTAATTACCACTAGTTATCATTATTATCAAGTATAAGGCCAGTTTTGTACTTGACAATGGGGTCAAACCCAAAACCGGTCGTATAAATATAATCAACTAGTGGTAATTAGACAAAGGGGTTTCTATTCATTTCATTAAAGTACTGGCAAAAGATATATCTTTGTAAAAAAGTCTCTAAATATTTTACTCACTCATTGAAATATGACAGTTGAAAATGGTTCAAAGACATTTGTTCATGGTTGTCGTTTTTTGTCATTCATTAGTATATTTCAATGGGATATTATTCACTTTATCTACCTCAACTATCACCAGTTATATTCTAGATCATTTGAAATTATTTTCAAGCAAATAGAAGCGACATAAATATATCAAGTGGTATTGACATGAATTTTCGTCAGACTCAAGTTCAAGTTTTCGTCAGACTCTAGTTCAATGCACAAGTTCAATGCTGGATATGGATCTTACTGAAAAAATGTTGAGGACGTCATATTATGACAAACGAGAACAACGTTAACATTTAAAATTTTAAAATTCAAATCGTAAATTCAGAAGAAAATCCATGTATCAAGTTTGAAACACTGGTTGATATTTTGCTAGCTACAAGACCTCAAGGTATACTTTTGAATGTACAAAAAGTTCACTGGATCTGCCAGTAATTGAAACCAAGTATAATCAACACGCCATCAATAATTGAAATTTCTGAAGACGTAATGTTTGGACCAATATGAGTGATCAAATATAGTAAGGGGGCATACTTGAAGGCTAGCTGTAAATCAAATTATCCATAAGAACAATTCGTTCAGACCAGTCTCAACTATTCTGCTGTTGATGGACTGACACACTACTTCTCTGGCTAATACTACGAAGGGTGTCAGTGCGAAGTTATTCACAGAAGCAATTCCTGCATATACTGTTGGCGATACAACTGCCAGAGTCGATTCTCAATTATTGGAGCTATTGGAACGGGCACTACGAATAATTGGGTGATTCGGATATGCGATTGGTTAGTACCTAGTTTACGGTAGATGTAGCGATGACATATGTTGTTTGTCTTTCGCTCCAGCCTTGTTCGAGAAGATATACTCTGAAAGGAATTCGATTTTCAATTATGGGGAATCATCGACTGCATGTTGATGATGAACAGTACCTTACACTGACGAGAGGCCAACTAGCCCGAAACGGGCCTGCAAGTGTGTCTATTTCAATAACTGAAAATCGATTCCGGCACTTGTATCGCCAACAGGCAGTCCCGCGCTGACACCTGTCAGATGTAAACCAACGCTCTTCGTAGTATTAGCCAGGGGAGTAGTTATTTTCTGATAGGTATCAGTCCATAAACTTTTGATTTAACGTGAATCCGAATAATATAATGATAATTAATTATATAGCTGAGAATAACAGGTTGATAAAGTGTAAAGCATAACATTCATCTATTATAAATAATATAAATATCTCGTAAATGGTCAAGTCTGCAGAAACTGGAATGAAAACATACTTAATGCATGAAAGTTAATCATATTTAAAATTTTTCTGAATTCGATATTCCCTGAGTAAAAGTTGTTTATAAAACAGTTCCAGATTTCCTTATCTCATTTGTTAGAGTTTCCAACTCTATAAAGTAATTGTATGTATGTTTTCAGATGAATTGTCCTAGTCCTAATTTTCAAAAGTTTTATTTTTGTTTGTATATATTTTCACAAATATTACTCTTCAAAACACCATTACGTAAGTTTGAAAAATTGTATTTATGAAAGTAAAACGTCCGAACAATATATGAAATGATGATGTTCTATAAAAAAGCTGGATTACACGAATCGTGTTTCGTGTGTCAAGTTTTTTTAAGTCTAGCTAAGAGTAACACTCGATGCATCACCCGAATATACGCCACAATATTAAAATTATCTCAGTTTTAATGAAAGTACTTCTGGAATTCCGATTCAAAAGTAATATGAGTATTGTATAGAACTATCATTTGGATAAAAAATCAAACAAATTTTCAAATCTCATCAGTCAAAATTTCAATCTAGACAATTTTCAATAATTTTTCGAATATCACTTATATAAAGAATAAATAGCAGCAATTACGATAAACGATAGTATGGAGTAAACACTATCATCTGTACTCTCAATAGAAGCCTCATAATAATGTTCATTTCAAATACTTGCATGGCCTTTCTTCAACCAATGAATTATCCTCTCATATCAATAGCATATAACAAAATTGATTGTTCGCATATAAGTAATATATATGAATATAAAATATTTGGGTTTTTTATACAGTCCCATAGGTAATTTTGTTTTCAGTTTTCAAAACACCCTTTCTTTTTTTTTCCCTTTCTTATATTCCCATCCTGCCACTATACCACCACTTTAAGCAGTAGTGGAATACTCACCACTATATACCGGGTGTAACTGAATAAGTGTATAACATTTAAGGAGGTGATTCCTCATCGAAAAAAAGATAGGATCTTTCATATAAAGAAACTTCATTGGAGCAATATAAAAAATATTGCTTATATGTAATATAGCCAACATACAGAATAATTTAACGAAATAATATTTGACGAGAACATATATAATAATGAAGTACAAATATTACATAGACAAAATACTAAGATAAAACATATATAATAATATTACTATAATATAAGAATAATGATAATATAATAATAATCATAATCATAATACAGACACGTTTCAAAATAGATTACCAAAATTCGTCGCCGCAATGGAGATATACAAATTTGGCTAAAAAAATGAAATCTTATATAACTGCAACTGATTCATTATGTTATGACATGCATTTCTATTCATTTCAATCCAGTCTTTTAGTTTTTGTTTGAAAGTTATAAAATTCACAACGTTTTTTATGTTTTAAGGAACTAAGTTCCAGATCTTTGGACCTAAAAAACTACTATGTCTCTGTCCAACCAATTTTATGCATTTTGGAATCAAAACATTACTATTTTTTCCTGGTATTATAAGGATGGTTCATGGATTTTTTCTCTATTTTATTTTTCTTAACATTCAGTAACATTTTCAAGCAATATAGTTGTCTCACATCCATAATTCCTGCTTTTTTATATAATTTTTCAGTTGAAAATTTTCGTGACTTCCCTAGAATAATTTTCAGAATTTTTTTTTGACAATATTTAGGCAATTCATATTTGACTCGTTAACTCCCCCCCATCCTAGGATTCCGTATGATAACTGTGACTGAATCAGTCCAGAATAAAGTGTTTTCAGATGAGGAATATCGAGATTTTCTTTCAAAATCTTAAAACGTGGTAGAAGACCACGTATCTTCCTAGTTAGATATGACATTTGAGAATCCGATCTCATATGCCGATCTATGATCAAACCTAGATATTTAATCGAAGTTGCTTCCGGAATGTGTGTGTCTGCATTCACATAGAGTTATTAGGGATGATTTAATTGCGCCTCATTTTCTACCTCCTCGATTAAATGGTGAGGCATACGTTCAATTTTTAAGAGAAGTGCATCCAGTACAGCTGGAGGAAGTTTCTTTGGGCGTCAAAAGTGATATGTTTTATGACGTGCTACTTGACTAAAATGGGGCTCCCGCCCATTTTAGTCAAGTAGCACGTCATATATGCATATGCAAATCAGTGGATAGGTCGAGGAGGACCACAGAACTGGCCCTCCCGATCCCCGGATCTCAATCCTCTCGATTTCTCTATTTGGGGCCATTTACAGCATTTGGTTTATCGTACTCCTGTTCGCAATGTAGAGCGAACAGGGTGCGTGCAGGGTAATCAGAGAGACTCCAGGAATATTTGAGCGAATACGTGGCTCAATGGGCCGACGTCTAGACGCATGCGTAATGTCTGAAGGTAGACATATTGAACATTTACTACTATTATTTCTACATGTTTGTTTATTAATAAATTAGTATTGTTTATTACCCTTTAATCGTTTAATGCAGGTACTAACTACAAAATAACAATAAATCCAGTTCGCGTTTATGACGATGTATCTCTGTAGTTGTTCGTAAAATAATTTTTTGCTACGAACTGGTTTATTTTGGTCAAAAAACCCAAGAGACATTTTTTTTAGAAAGAAACAGGCTATCGGAAATGAATTTTTAAATGGTAAACAAATAATATGACAAAAAGTTACATTGGAAATAAATTTTAGGGGTTGCGTTTTCCACCCCTTACAACCATGGGGTAAACCAAATAAATTACTGGCTAAGTACCTTATTGGTAGTACAAAACGTCAGGTTAATTTCAATATTGTAACTTTTTCAGTGGTTGTGAAAAAAATTGTTATACAAATTTTATGTACCCCCTTAAAGCGGCTGTAACTTAACAAGGGATGCTCCAATGAAGTTTCTTTATATGAAAGATCCTATCTTTTTTTCGATGAGGAATCACCTCCTTAAATGTTATACACTTATTCAGTTACACCCGGTATATAGTGGTGAGTATTCCACCACTTAAAAAAAAAAGGAGAACTATGGAACACGGCATGTCAGAATACATATTCATTCTGAAACAAGGAATTGATTTTTTCATAAACATATTTCATCCTGTTCATTCTTCGATTGTCTGATAATATCGATCATATCAAGAAAAATTTCATTCATTCACATCACACTAAGATAATATAATCTACTTACCCAATAAGGAAAGCAATCCACATGCCATCCATATCACAAAACTCATCCCGATTGATCCTGTTCTTTCTAGAAGTCCAGACGGGGAAACGAAAATTCCGGATCCTGTAAAAAATTACATAACAATATTCCAAAAATTGAGCTCAACATAATGTGAATCCAATTTAATTATTCGCCGCAAAAACGAGCACAGACTCCATTATTTTGGATATACGTATATAGAATTTCCTCAGATTCAGTATCTTCATTTGAATACAGTGTGTATCAACGATAACGATCCGTGTTTCTTTGTTTCAGATAGAAAAATACATTAAACAAATGAAAGCTGTGAACATTTATTGAAAAGTTTTTTTCAAAATATAAGAAGGTTATGGTGAGATGTATGTCATAAAATAGATTCATTCAACTCCCACTTGTGTCCCACACGATGAAATAGAATGAGAATTTTTGCGAATAGTGTATTCTTATTTCCATTCATAATTTTACTGAGTGATTCCTTCTCCAAACAGGGGCAATTGAATATCGGGTTCAATTTTTTTCTCAGTTTTTTCAAATAGAGTCCACAGGATAAACAAGACCATGATTGTATAGTAAACTAGTACTACCAGCTTGATCAGTTCTCAAAAATTTGTCTAATTCTTGAAGAAACTATAAAAAAACGTAACGGTTTATTTGTTAATGCCAGAAAAACCAAGTGATATATACAATGAACAGTTTTTAAAACTATATCCACAAAAGATGTTCAACCTTCCATTTTGATTTACGCATAAATCAGTCCATCTGTAATCTCTTTTCGAACTTCAATTAATGTCTGCCTTGTAACAAAACGAAAATCTTTCCTGACCATATTTTTCCACTGTCTTTGTGTCCACACAGTAAATTTATCTCTTGATAAATTGAGTGAGATCTGAGGACATTTGCGGTCCCTCCAAAAATATAGCAACTATAATTCATCTTGTACACGACAAATTTTGGGAAGAAACATCATTTCTCTTTCTTCCACCTTCTCCATCATACCTTCTGTATCAGTATAAAATTCATATAAGATTATTATACCTGCCACTCTATCAAATATTACAAAGCACGATATTCGGGAATGAATGAGGATATACGCACTAAGCACCGGTGACGTTCTGAAGGTACTTTCGTATTGTAGTATTGCATAGTACGTACCTCCAGTTCACTTTTTTTCGAGGTAAAGTCAATATTTGTTTCCCAGCTCGAATTTTCATCCAAATATGATACCTGAAATTTTGCTATTTCAAATGAACCGACCACATCGTTATTAATTTTCATGTGGATATAATTTATGATATTCGTAGGTCGCTTAAGAATCCTAAAGCATCTGCATAGTTCTTCGGAAGAATTTCGAACAAAAGCCAATATTGTTTATTTGAAAGTGGATCGTGCTTTGAAGCTCTGTGATACGAAAGAAAGTCTCTAGAAGGAACCAGGCATCATCAAAAAAACTTCAGCGGAATGGTTACTTCGAAGTGATGACGGAAAATACTTTGGTAAGAAGACAGCAAGAGGCTCACAAAGAAGAGAAGCTGTCACAACCAGTGCTTGAACTTCTCTACGTCAGAGGATTGTCAGAAAGCATATGAAGAATTGGGTCCAAGTACAACATCAAAACCTGCTTCAGATCTGGAAACACCACACGTAGCAGCCTCAAGAAAACCAGGCCACCAGACGATTTCAAGAACTGCATTTACCAGATACCCTGTGAGTGCCGACAAATCTTACATGAGTGAAACAAAGAGGCCATTGAAAGTCAGTATTGTCGAGCACAAGAAAGAAACACAGCGAGGAGAAACAGCAAATCGGGAATAGCAAAGCATGTTTTGACTCAACGACGTAACATCAAGTGGTCCTAAGCTGAGATCATCCACAGAGAGGAATACTGGTTTGAGAAGAAGTTGAAAGAAGCCGCATATACGTTGTCCAACAACGTATTCAGCCAATCTAGAGTAGATATACGCAACATATGGAAACCTGTAATCAAGCGGAAAATGTCCAAATCTCGCCAAAGGGTTAACTCCCGGTAAACCGGTGAAGCGGAGAGACGGAAGAGGGGATAGGTGAAAGTACTCAAATGACCTATAATTAGTCATCTCTCGGAGGAATGATTTCAGTCACCACCCGAAGACGACTGTGGATACTAACAATCGAAACGTCGTTAAGTAACTTGGTTTGAATTTTTTTTATTTATTTTTGCTTATTTTTACTCTTTTTCATTCCTTTTTACTTTGTAGTCAGTTTCATGTTGTACCTGTTTTATTCGTTTTGTTGTTCCTTTTTCATTCGTTTTATTGTATTTTCATTTCAGGTTTTATTGCTTAATATAATTGATATTTTAGGTATTCATTCTAATTTTTTTTTTCATAGGTTTCGAATCATAGTGGAATCATATTAGACAATTGAAATCCGAACTGATGAAATTCACCATTATTGTATCATCGACATTAATATAATATTTTCAGTATTCAGATATAGCGGTGGATTATTAAAAAATATTAAAACTATGAGAGAAGCGAGGATTGAGTCCTGGGGAACTTCTGTGTCTAATTGATCATTATCTATTTTCTCTTTATTTTCTCATGTTATGAGTGAAATGCAATCTGTTGTAAAATAGTGCATGTTAAGACCAACGAGTACAGTTTGCTTTGGATGATTTTTATGGTAATGTTATCAAATGATTTGGTCAGATCGGGAAATGCCCTAAATCTAGAATTCTATAAATATATTTGAAAAATGAATTTGATGCACTTTCCGTCCACCTGCCACAGAACAATACATGCTATATACACATACTATATCATATTTAATTACTATTGGAATCGAATCATTCGATAACACTAGTTTACAGCCAATTTACGACTGTAATGCTGAAGGCAGTTCTTTGTTAATTTTTGGTCCCTAAATGCCAAAAAGATAGTAAAAATTTCATAACACGTAAGATTTTTGAGTCATGATTTTTTTCACAAAAATTTAATGAACACGACATTCCAAATTTGCTCTTCCCCTAAATTGAGCAAATTGTTTAAAATCTGGCAACACAGCGGCTCTGCCCAGTATTCGAATCTGCTTCCGCTGAATATGAAACTTGTAACACCGCTTCTCGAACTTCCGATACTCTAAGTTTCCAGAAAATACCAGAAATACGGAACCGCTATAAAAGTAGCAGGTTGACAATCGGATCATCAATATTGTCAAGGCATAGGACTATTACTGGGTCTTCAGGGCGGATTCACGAAGTTTTGCTGTTTTCTTTGCCTTTGGAACACAGAGCCATTACCAAGTAAAAGAATGGCCTCCGAGAGATAAATATATTCCAGTTCAAGCTAACGTGAATAATATACCTCTTGGTAATCCCAAAAACGTTTTGTTACCTCCATTACACATCAAACTGGGGTTAATAAAAAATGTTGTAAAAGCATTAGACAAAGAACGTAATGCGTTTAAATATCTTAAACACATTTTTCCAAAATTAAGTGAAGCAAAGCTCAAGGAAGGTATATTTGTTGGACCACGAAAGTCAACATTGCACAAAAGATTTCATTTAAATGTTTTTTCATTTGTATTGTGAATGAGGTCTGTTAACCTCGAAATATATTGTTTCTTTCTTGTTTTGATCTTGTATTTCCCTATAATATGTGAAAATTTTTGCATAAAATAAAAATAACTATAACTCAAAATCGTTACGTGATGGAAAATGTTTGATGTTGAAGTCGCTGTCAGGATGTTTTAAACTCTCTTGTATAGCCATTATAATATTAGTCGCAATTTTTATTGTTATTTGTTGGCTAGTGTAATTGTTTATAAGTTTGAGATCATCTTTTTTGTAGATTATTTGGATAATTCTGTTTCTATATTGAATCCTCCATCAAGTTCTCAAGCCAGTATGAGATCTGTAGAGGAAACGGCAATATAAACATGAAAGAAAATGAGCGAACCTCCCCATCTGCATATTTATTAGTAGTTCTCGGCAAATAACTTACCAATCATGGTTCCGACAATTAAAGCCACCCCACTGAAGAGTCCCACCCGTCTCTGGAGGTGAATAGTGTCATTCTCAGTTGAGCTCGGCCTCTCCAGCTTGTCCTGCCCTGCTGCGGCTGAGCCTTCAGACCCCGCCGCCGGCCCGCCGCCTTCGCTGTCGCCGGCCCCCCCGTCGAGCCCACACCCGGATAATCCGTTGCATTGCCCGTTGCTGCTCCTGCTGCCGCGCCACTGAACGTGTCCATCTTTTGGGGACGCATTGTTATTTCCTGGAAAATAATGAAAGTATGAGATTTATAATAACAAATTATAGAATATTAAACCATAGACTCGAAAGGTAAGACTGGAACTGCAACACTCTTCTCGACGTGTGTTTCACCAATCGAGTTGGCGTCTAAGGTAAATAAAGTGTTTGTCTTCTGAAGACGCTAACTTATTCGGGCCAATCCCCGTCGAGAAAAGTGCTGCAGGTCTAGTGTTTTTTTAAAACATTGTGATGTATAAGTCACGGAAGAATTACACAGGGTGTTAATTAAGTATGTACCATAAATTTAACAGACGATTCTTCAGGAGGTAATTTTAAGACGAAATGTTCATATATAATCATGGGTCCGCAAATCCCTCGTTCTCAAGATACAGGGTGTTAAAATAAAAAAAAGTTATTCATAAATATCTTGAATATCCTTTACCTAATTTTGTTGTGATTTGGCAATGGTATTTATAACATTAAGGAGCTAATTTAGCCCGAACCTGATTCAATTTATTAAGTCCAGTGGCGTCTCGAGTGGGAATTGAACGAATATTTTTGACTTAAAAATGTACGCCACTGACTTTTGTGCAATTATTATTTCTTCAATTGAGCAATCAAAAATACAACTTTTTTGTCTCTTGAATTTTTTCCGTATCTTTCTTCGTTTTTAAGAAAATAAGTCGACCTAATTGCATATCCCTGGACCTCACAAGGAATAATATGGGGAATTAAATGTTTCTTTTGGAAATTATTATTTTTACGATTTTTCATTACTAATTATGTAACAATAACAACAAATATTAATAACATTAACATCTAGACTAACGAATTGCACTAAATTAAATGTTGGAAATGGCCTCCTTCGTCTTCAATACAACCGTCTAGCCGCCGCATCATTAAATTTCGTACTGAAAATACCTGGCGTATTTTTTATTATGTCACATGAATTAATGATTGTATTCCATAAATCCTCTTCACTTTGAATAGCAGTTTTGTATACCAACGCTTTAAGGTGTCCCCAGAGTAAATAATCTAAGGGATTAATTTCGGGCGAGTGAGGTGGCCATGGATGTGGGCCTGCTCTTCCAATCCGGCGATTATGGTAATTTTGATCCAAAAATTGCCGTGCCACTACACTAAAGTGTGGTGGAGCACCATCGTGCATGTACCACATACGGAACCAGTTAAAACAAATTTTAAAAACCTTCGGTATTCTTCTCCATTAAGTCTAGGTGGAAGGAACTGAGGCCCAATGAGATGGTCACCGACAATTTCAACCCAAATATTTAAAGAAAACTGTTCTTGAAAATTATTTTCTATCAAGGCGTGTGGATTGTCTTCGGCCCAAATGTGATTGTTGTGGAAGTTAATAATTGAATTGTGAGAAAAACAAACTTCATCTGTTAACAATATTCGACTTAGGAAACCTGTATTTCTTCTTATTTTACCGTGTAACCAATTAGAAAAAGCTAGTCTTACAGGCAAGTCTCTGGGCAATAGAGCTTGCACACGTTGCATGTGATAGGGATATAGCTGCTGGGCTCTTAAAATATGCCACACTGTGACATGGGTAATATTCAGTTCTTCAGCTATTTTCCGAGTACTGGTATGAGGATTTACTTCAATCTCATTTGAAAGAGCTTCTTCAATTTGAACTGTTTGTACCGTTGCAGGCCTCCCTATGACAACCGTCGCGTCGATCTTTTAAAGCTGCCTGTTTCAGAAAGTCGTGCATAGAGTACAAAAGTTCTTCTATTAGGTACTACACGCTAAGGAAAATTTTCATGATAAATGCGTCTTGCAGGAATCGAGTTTCCGTGAGTCATTCCATAACAGAAATGCATATCTGCCATTTCACTGTTAGTATATTGAATCATGTTCTACAAAAATGGTTCCAAAAATAACCACTAAACACACTTTTTAATAATTTCCAAAAAAAAAACATTTATTTCCGCCTATTATTCCTTGTGAGGTCCAGGGACATGAAATTAGGTCGACTTTTTTTTCTTAAAAACTAAGCAAGATACGAAAAAAATTCAAGAGACAAAAAAGTTATATTTCTAATTGCTCAATCCAAAGAAATAATAAAAATTGCACAAAAAACAGTGGCGTACATTTTTAAGTCAAAAATATTCGTTCAAATTCCGCTCGAGACGCCACTGGACTTAAAAAATTTAATCACGTTCGAACTAAATTAGCTCCTTAATGTTATAAATACCATTGCCAAATTACAACAAAATTAGGTAAAAGATATTTAAGATATTTACGAATAATTTTTTTTTATTTTAACACTCTGTATCTTAAGAACGAAGGATTTGCGGACTCATGTTTATATGAACATTTCGTCTTAAAGTTACCTAAAGAATCGTCTGTTAAATTTATGGTACATACTTAATTAACACCCTGTATATGGAGGAAAATATCTTTGCTTGTAACTACCGAATTCCTTTAGAAAAATTTCAGCAGTACATGCAAAAATTCAAACCCCTTCAAGTTCTGGATAAAATTTAGATCATTATAAATAGAAATTATTTTGATACAAAATGTCAGAAACTTTTTCGAAAATTTCTCTAGTACCAGATAACTGAAACAAACTACGTCGTTTTCATCCATATTGATTGATGTTATCATTATCACTACTACGTAAGTTCTTGGATCATGAAAAATATTATCGTGATATAAAAATTACGCCATTAGGTGATATAAGTTTTGAACAAAAAATAATTCCCAGATGCGCAAAAACAATTATAACTATGAGTATCTGTGGCTGTCAGTAGCGAAAAAACAGTCGATTGATTGGAAGAATGATTTTCTACAATTCGAATAACCACAATTTAGAAATCGTTCAAATGGTAGGAGGTGCTATTGTGTAATATCACGCAAATGCATTTGAACATAAATCACATTGAGCAAACATAAAATCATTTAACAGCTCCTCGGGAAATTCTATTGAAAAACGGGTTTATTGCCGTAGATAATGGTTTCATAGAAAATATCAACCACAATTCTGTTTTAACTAGACGAGTAGTAACAGAACTCATAGCAAGTCTAGCATGTTTTCTTGATGAAAATCAAACATAAATATAATTTAGGTCATTCTTCAGTCATCAATTGATATGTATTTTATCTTAGCCACTCAATGATATCCGCTACCATTAGTTAGCATTCTTTCAACTTTTCTGGGATGATAACTTGCATTATCCATTAGTAGTGCAATACGGTCTGTTATTCATGCAAAATATTCTTCAAAAACATCTCCGTTCATGTTTGTGTGCTAATCGTCAGAATGCTTTGACTCAAACATTAATAAACCGTCCTCAACAAAACCATCAACATTTGTAATGAATTTTTGAATTCATTAATTGAATTAGGATTCCCTAATATACAGGTTAGCTAACTTAAAATATAATACAATCAACAAAATTTATTTAAATAATACAACTTTATTTACAAACATAATTTGAGCTGACCAAAAAGGAATTTTTCAATTTCCATCATGAATATATTTTAACAGTTCGCTCTTGAAAATCTCCAATGATAGAGTAGTGCTTAGTAGAATGGTGATGAATGTCCTTATCGAAAATTATTAATGATATCAAGTATTGTGGGGTCATTTTATTTATTATTTTATAAATGAAAACCATGGAACTTTAAAATAATTTATCTGCTCTACAATGACTGAGAGCTATTGTAGAGCAGATTGCTTGGTAGAATTTGATATATACCTATTACATTTTTAAATTATTCTCATTCCCCGATTTTGTAGTTTTTATATTTGTTGCACTTTGTTCAAATTGAAAGAGAATAAAATAGATGCACAGTAGTCAACATTTAGTTGGATTATTGATTTATATACGGTAATTTTTGTATTTATTGATAAATTATTGGCGATTCTTGAGAAAGAATATAATTTTTTTGCAATCTTTTTTTCAATATACTTGAAGTGGTCGTCGAATGATAAGCAATTATCAAGTTGAAATCCCAAATACTTCACATATGTTACTATTTCTAAACGTTCATCTTCAATCATTATATTCATGTTGTTTGTATTTATTTGATTAAATTTGAATTTAGTAGTGATTATCAATGCTTTGGTTTTTTCAACGTTAAGTTTAATTTTATCGGTTTTCAGTTATTTTTCTGCTTTCTCTAAAACCTTATTCATTCTGCCAACAGTTTCTTCTAAAGTCATTCCAGAACAGGCCAATAAGGTATCATCTGCAAATTAGTTGATGAACTCACAGTGTGTAAATAATTGTATATCATTCAGATACAGAATGAATAATAGGGGACCAAGCACACTACCTTGTGGTACTCTTGTTTGATTTGTTATATATGATGAGAAATAACCGTTCAAACGTACTCTCTGTCTCTTATTTGATAAATAATCACTTATCCATTCATAAACCATCCCCTCAATCTCATATCTTCTCAGCTTATGAAGCAAAATACTTTTATCAATCATTTCAAAAGCCCTTTTGAAATCTAAAAAGACAGCTACAATATATTTACCTTTATCTGTTCCAGTAGTAAATTTAGTTAGCGATAACTGTAGTGATATTTCACAAGAATGTTTTTTTCGAAAACCAGATTGATTGATAAACATGATTTGATTTTTGTCAATAAACTCTAATAATTGATTATATACTGCTATTTCTAAAACCTTCTCTATTGGCGGTAAGGTATTAATAGGACCTAATTCACTTGCTTTTACATTCATATCAAGGCTGCAAAGGCCAAGAAAGCTCCGAGGGTCGACTCAATAACCAACAAGTTGTTGAAGAGACTCCCGGAGAACTGCGTTGAATTTCTTTTAAACTTAATTAACAGTTCGTTGGCCCTCAGACACTTCCCTAGAAGGTGGAAGCATGCGATCGTCGTCATGCTCCCAAAACAGGGTCAGAACCAGCTGTTCCCGCAGAACTATCGCCCGATCAGTCTACTCTCGTCGGCGGCTAAGCTGGCTGAAAAAGTTGTACTGCAAAGACTCAACGAAGAAGTTGAGGACCGAAATGTTCTGCCTAACGAACAATTCGGCTTCAGGAGAGATCACTCCACTGAAGTACAGGCTCTGAGGTTGGTCGAAAACACCATCAGCGAGCTCAACAACAACAAAAAAGTACATATTGTGCTTTTAGACATTTCGAAGGCCTTCGACAGAGTATGGCACGAAGGTCTTCTGCACAAGCTAAACGCGTTCGACCTACCTCGGGGCCTGATCCGGTGGATCGGTTCAGTCATGAACCCATTGGTCCTTCTCGAGACCAACAATCAGTCGATAGGGTAGGGTAGCTGGACTCCAAACCTGAAAGAATTGAAGATGACATTCTGACTTGCTTTTATAGTGTTTGTAACTTTAGGTATGGTACTTATTTTTAATAATTCGGGCAATTGACCATTCTGGAGTGATGTATTGATTAAATTGAGGATTGCATGACCGGCTGTTTCAAATACTTGCTTTAATATTTTAGAATTCAAGATTTCATTGATACTAAATTTATTATCTAATGACCTAATTATATCATTCAAATCTCTTAAAGTAATCAATCTGAAGGTGCTGAAGGGCAAATATAAATTATTATCCAAATTGCACCATGGTTCAGAATTCCCAATACCTTGGACTATATGTTGGATGCTGTTTACAAAGTATAGGTTGAAAGTTTCGGCCATGTCAGGTTCACCTTTTTTAGTACTTACTACCCCTTCATCTTCAAATTGGATAAGGTTTGAAAATGTACGATCATTACTATTAACAAGGGTTTTTAAGGTTTTCCACATCAAATGAGGATTATTCTTGTATCTGTCTATTTTGATATACTTAATAATGTGGGTAATAATCAGTCGTTTTCCTTTTCCAGACAGCGACTTCAATCCGGTAGACCAGATAATAAATAACAGATAATGGATAATAAATTTTTCTATTCTCAAGTCGAATCTCCTTTATCTGCCTTAGATAATGTCTTGTATAGCAAATGATCATTTTCATAATTTCCGATTGAGGGCGATTTTCCGTTTTATCTTTTCCAGCTGAAAATTGATTCCTGCTTATCATTGGAGGCATAACACATGGGCTGAATGGGCTCATTCAGGCTAATTTAGTTTTTTATTGAAAATTATATGTTATAAAAGTAAATCATCTCCCGAATATCCCACAAAAATTTCCGGTTTATATGTCAATTAACCAATGAACAAGAGCAAAATTGAAAATGTGAGATCGCTCGCGGTACATCTTGACGTTACACCAGGCAAACAAGCTTCGAGAGGTAGCAACCGGGCTTGTAGTTGAAGATTATGAATCGCTGCTATCGTCAATTCAATTTAATTTTCTTCAAAGTAATGTATATATCAATTTTGGGTAACTGGCATTTTTGAGACAAAAATTCTATAATAAATAAAGAGTACCTTGGGATTCCAAGACATAATTTCGGATTTTTCTCTATGACGTAAATAGATCTTCGCTCAATATTGTTTTTCGAGTTTCAGTTTTCAACTTATATTCCAGACAAAGTAGAATCTGATGATGTATCAACAGAAGTCATGTCTGATGTACTCAAACTCTCACTGTCGGTCTATCAATCTGGCAATCAAATAAATGCGGATTTACGCCTGGTTTCAATATACTTTTTCCCACTTTCATAGTTTTGATATAGGTACATGTAAATTTTCTAAGCCTGTTTCAACCTAAAATTCGAAGTAGTGCTCAGAGTAAACTATAATTTTTTTAATAATCATTATAATTCATACTTACATTAAAATGATCTTCGCAACAAAAATGCGTCCCCTTGGCAGATATAAAGTCGGCCCTCCGCATAGCGCGCTGTCGTAACTTTCGTAATAGTGAAATAAAAATTTTGTCTGGTGCAGTTACCGAAGAATTATTGCATTTAGGAACGATGCAATACTTGTAACGTTATTTTTTTATCATTATTCATATTCACGCAGTTAACATACCTACTGCAGTAAACAACACACAACTTGCTTTCTACGGCTTTAGCACACGTATTTAGCTAATCCGCCAGCACTCTCTTGTCGCCGAGTCGACTGATGTGACGTCAAGCTAGACCACGCCCCGTTTCCATGAACGCCACATTCAACAATTAATTTGAGGGGGAAGATAAAGAGTGAAAATTCAGATTTTTTGCAGATGTACTATTTGAAACATAAACTTTCAAATTATGAAATAAAAAAAAATTGTTAAATGAGCCCATTGTTCCGGGCCTAAGAAAGAAAACGCTTTTTTTTGTAAAAATTGGCTTTACTCATCAACGTATTCTCCATCAAGAGCCACACAATCATTCCGGCGCTGCTATAACATTTCAAATACCACTTTGGTAGAACGATTTACCTTTTGCCTCAAAATAGGCAGTTACAGCAATAACCTCTTCATTTGGGCGAACTTTCTTACCAATAATCATTTTTTGGGGGTCATTTTTTGAAAAACATATATCGTTCGAGATTAACGGACGCCCACGTAGAAGACACACTTGAATTTGCTGTTCCTATCGAGAACCAAAATATAAAAAACTGACTCAAGACCGTCAGTGTAGTTTCTCACATTAATTTCAGGTCTTGTGTTTTATAATTCGGAATTTGATTTGAGATCAAAATAATACATAGGTAGCACCTAATTATTATCAGTTGTTTTTTCTGAACCTGGTTAAAATTTTCCCACAGTATCCGGACCCCATTCAAAACTACTTGCCGACCCCTGCCATAACCTTTCTAGCCGAATGTTGTGCTTTCGTGTACTTTGGACGAGGTTCAACAGTTGCTCTCTACTCAGATGATTCCGGAGCGAAATAATGGATCCATGTTTCATTTAGTGTCACATATCGATGCAAATATTTCTGTTTATTATGTGGCCAATCACTGCTCAGAATCATCAAGACGATCTTGTTTTTGTTCAACAGTGAGCTCACGCGGCTCCCACTTTGAATAGAGCTTTCTCATAATCAAATAATCATGCAATGTGAAGCTAACACGTTCTTTTGATATCTTTACAATGTCAGTTAACTCACGCAATTTCACTCAGCAAAATTCCTCTGCCAGAAAGTCACTGACAGGGAAATCTTAAAAATTCGTTCAAAAATATGTACAGTCGATTGGTAAAGACTATGATATTCTGAAGATCCAACATAAAATTTGCCAATGACAAAGTTAGAGAAACTACTCAAGTGGAATGAAGGGCAAACTAACAACTTCACCTTGAAAACTCATTCCATAATGTACACCTATGAAAATTCTAATTAATCGGTATATTGTTCATGAATTTTGTTTGGAATAAAAAAAATTATTGGAAAAATAAAATTTCAATATTCGGTTATCGTGGAATAAACCAATTATAAACATTTTATTGCTCCAACCTCTTATTTTATTTTTAGTCAAAATTTATAAATACAATATGTTACTAACTAATCAGACTCTTCACACATATACCTGAGAAGAGTCTCTGTTGATCTTGAAATACTTATTTTCCAGGTTGTGCAAGGTTAAGAACCATAAAAACAAGAACTTTTTTATAGTCAAAAAGAAGTGAATTTTTCTCGTTATTTTTCGTAATATTTTTTTAGATTTGCTTCACTTCACGTATTAAGTGTATACCAAAAATGTTTTGGAATTTTAATGAAGATCAGTTAAAGATAATTTTTCTTGATTTATCAAAAATTGATGGCAGATATCTATTTGTATAAACGACAACATTTTCTATTTTTCGGGAGCACAATTTTTCGCATCAACATTGACTTGTTTACCTGACGATTGGGCAACATAGATAGTACCATCATGTATAGGTTGTGAAAAATCATGAAAACCAGTTACCTTCAATTTTTCCAGCAAATATTTCCATTGATCATATTCCGTAAACACTCAAGATAGAAATAACAGTCTTCACAAAGCTCACTTTACAAATTTCTTATGCGATAGTATCGCATAAGTGGCGGGAAACCTTGACTCGATTGAATTGACCTAACTTTAAGGCGCTTTGCCAAAATCTAGCATTATTTTTGAGGTTCACTGAAGCAAAACAAATCCCGCACAACCAAACCGTATCCAGCTTGGATTAGACAAGTTTAGATATCAGCAGTGTCTACGTGAATGAATTGAAAACTAGAATAACTCAGAGATCACAAAATGATTTATCAATAGATATAAGCTCGTTGGGTTTAAGCATTTAACGGCGGAAAATCCGACTTTCCTGTGAACAACGATAACGTACGAATAAGATATTGTTTTCATGTGTCGGCGCTTTGAGAATGAAGGTATAGATTAACTGCATTTTTGCGTTTTGTTTACAGAGAGGCGTACATTTTATTTCCCCTCCAAGTTTACGGTCTGGGCGGACGTTTCGCTCGCTTATTTTCCCTTAAAATAGTACATAACATACCAAGTAGGATAAGAAGCCTATTACCCACGAGTAAGCACGAGGCGTTAGCCGAGTGCGATAACTCGCGAGAGGACGTAATTGGGCTTATCCTCGAGGTGCGTACTATACTTTTTCTACGACTAACCGTACAAATAAAAAGTACAATAAATTTGTTTGAGATTATGGCTTTGGATAATAAACTCATTCAGTCAGTCAGTCAGAACACAATTAAATGTTTTAAATATTTGTGACAATATTTCCCACAAATTACTTTATAAGGGTTCATTTTTTTTATACTTATATACATTTATAGTTAGATTATTACAATTATTCAGAGATTTTTCGCCGTCGATGTGGGAGGAAGACGGTCTTATTCCGTTTTGTTGAGAATTTGTAACTGTGGGGATACGAATGTTTTCAATACTATTTATGATTACTTTTGATGTGTTTCTCATGGATGCCATAGAATTATCTACATAACTTTCTGCTGCAGTCTGACTTTTCCAGCCACCATGGCGCTTTAATGCCATTAGGTCACTTCCTCCATCAACTAGGATGGTTACAGATATGCTGAAGCAGTGTCCAGTATATGTTTCTAGATTTTCCAATTGTAAAAATTTGGCAATAATTTTTGGTAGGTCACCCAACTTATTAGATCCAACAACCTGACGAGTGCATTTCCCATTTTGATAATCAAAAGAAAATTGTTAGTTGTCAACTTTTTTTGATCTCAGGTTCATGTACTTTATACAAATATTATAGAAATTGCCAGAACATAAATGACCTTTCGGTTTTATTTGATGTGTAGTTCTTGACTCATATCTTTAATACGATCTATTTGCATATCTTTCAGTTCTTTTTTTCGGCATGCTCCAGAAATAGCAATAGAAATGCATTTAAATTATTATATCATTTAATTTCACCACTACCCTCCAAGAAATATTACTGATATATATTTATATCATTCACGTAAAAAACTTCCAGCAGTGGAAATTGACCGCGATTACCGATGTGTTTTCTGATAGTGATATGAGTACTAAACATAATTGATATTTACTTTATGAGTGAATAAATACATTTTAAGAGTTTTAAATAATATAATAATGTCAAACACAAATGCTAACAGGTATTTTTTGGTCTGTAAAATATTTTCAATTTCTTTTGCTTGGCTGTTATAGTTCATAGAATTAACGGAAGTAGAATTTGCTTTAGAGGCGTCTGGCAAATGAAATATGATTGACTTTTGGCTGGTGAGGTTGAATAATTCAGTTTTAACCTTTATGTTGTGTCTTGGTATTTCAAAAATTATTGCAAAAATTTCATAAAAAATTATCAGAAGGAAAAAGCGGAGTTGTGTTACCTTCGAAAACAAATATTTGCCATCTGGAGCTTCCTTAATGAATTGATTCAATTGTTCACTGGTGAGCGTCGATTTATAACCATAAGATTTGCGTTTTAGAGAGGCTGAAGTCCACAGGGTACTTCTCAGCATTGAGTAAATTACCCATAATGACAATGGTTTCAAAATTTTGCTAAATCTTCGAAACAAGAAAAACGTTTTCGGAAAACGAAGTTATGTTTTTCTTCTCTCTCCAACTCATGAAATTTTCAAAATTATATTCATATTTTTTTATAGATTTTGCTGGCAGCAAATTATTCATCGCAATATTTGTTTGCTCGATAATATCTGGTGTGGTAGCACAAATTTTTTGATCGTTATTACTCATTTTTACGAGATACTGAATGACAGCTTATATTTAAAACAAATGGTTGTTGACAGACGGATATAACTAGATTCATTACCAACCTATAAACTGTTGAACAACAAATTCACTGAAAATATGATTTTATTTCGATTTTACAGAGAATTTGGAGAGGAAATTCACTGATTTTGGCTTTTGGACAATTGAATGACACTGACAAAGGTCCTATTCTGAACGACTAATTGATTATATTTGTACGACTCCACCCTGTTGAAATTTGCGGGAACTTTCACAAGAAAATTTCCCGTGAATGTCTACCCAAAAACGATTTTATACGTGTCTAAAAGTGAGAGTGTACTGTAAGATATATATAGAGGTTAGGTTTAGAGTTAGTCTGCTTCATCTCCTGAAGACGCCAACTTGGTTGGGGAAACGCGCGTCAAAAACAGTGTTGCAGTTCTGGTGTTTATGAACAGTTCTTGTTTTGGATTCATTCTATGTTAGAGATTCAAACTACCATACTCATTCTCTGGATAAATATCCTCTCTCCGTTTTTCCCACATGAGTTTCTGATGAACAGTACAAAAATGTATGAACTGGAAGAAACAGTACTAGTTTGTACATCAGAACCTTTGATGTATTTATCTCACTCTCCTGGATATAACTCGAATTGTCTTCAAATTACTTGCCTGACCAGTGTCTCAATTCGGTTCCCTACAGCTAAGGTTATGCAGCAATATTTTGTTCATGTATCATGTGTCCAGTGAAGAATTATGTTGTCATTCAGAGTTGATCCCTGCTGTGCTGAAGTTTTTTCTCAGGTGATCCCTTATGTGTCCCCAGGTGTTTTCCCAGCATCCTTTATGTTCTTTATCCACCCAGTTCTTTGCCAGTATCATAGATTTTGGTAGCCCAAGGTTCGGAGCCCATATAAGAGCTGATGATCCGTGTCTTGCACGTGTATGATTATCCAGGCACCTAGTATAGAATAATATTTTTCTGATTAGCCTGTTTCTCCTATTCATCACGGCATTTCCAGTCTCGTTGTTACTCGTTGTTTCATATATTATTCGAATGCAGATTGAAAGTCTGTAAGACTATTGATTCGTTGAGGTATCAAATACGTATTCCTCGCACATAGTGAGGTTGCATGCAATTCCACATGAAACACGGATGTTTATGTGTATCCGAGCGGATAGTTGTAATGATGTTAGAGGCTCAGAGAAGGTTTTGATTATATGCCTACAGCACCTACATATTCAAGAGATTTTCAATGGGGTAACATTCTAGAAGGTAATTCATTCAGATACTCATATCACTTTATCACTGTACGAAATATTCTAGAAAAAATATATAAAATAGATGTTATTGATACAGAAACATTATAATTTTTACCAACGGTCATATATTTTGAAAAACATATCGTGGGGTAAATAGTAGTATACCATACTTCAAGAACATCGCAAAAATGAAGTGAAGACAATCGTTAGATTGGTACAGGATCAAAGAAATAGAGACTATACTTGTAAATACGTCAGATCTAGAGCAACGCACGTTGTACTTAACAAATCAACATAATTAGAAAATTAGTAAAACTTAATCCTTACAACTTATTTACAGCATTTATATACTTCCATATGAATCATTAAGAATAAATGGGTTCTTAGTTGTTATTTTTGAGTTTGTTATTGCTTATTATTAGGTATTTCTTATGCTATGATATGATAATTTCCTTGCAATCATAACAATAATTGTATCAAGACGACCTTACTCAAAAATTAGTACTGAAAACTCTTTCAATGACCCTCATTATCGGAGATAGTCATTTGTTCAAAATTATATAAAATTCTGCATTAACTCAGTCCATCTTCTGGTGAAGCTAACTTAGCGAAACGCTCGTCGAGAGACAGTCATTATCATCGTAATTTCCATTATAAATATGTACTTTTTTCTCTGATGGAAATTTTACATTTTCATTTGCAATTCTACATTTTCATCTTGAATCATTTTCTATTTTTGTCATTTTTCTACAACTTTCTGTGATTCGTTTCGGTTAAAATAGTTCAGATCATTTCAACGAGCGGTTTCCAATTTTCATTATGAAATTCTTAGTTATTATCCATCAAAACAAAATTATTTATTACTTTTAACTCAAAATTTGTTTTGTGTGTTTTTCTGTTTTTGTGGAAATGTCATATCGGCAGCTTTTCTGTTATGAGTACATTATTAACGATTTGATAAGAACATTAATTGATGTTAATAAATGCACACCAACCTTAATATAATTATTTTCAAAACTGATTTAATGGAATGTCAGTCAACACCGGTAAACGCGATGGAGTAAATGACCCGACCGCTAGTAACCAAGAATTTTAATATTTGCCCTATTGCCGATTTGATATATATTTAAAACCTTTGTATGCTTTGCTTGATGAAAGTTGCACCGATACCAATTTTTGTGGTCGGTGGATAAATACGTCGGCTAAGACTCATACACTGAAAGGTAAAACCTCATTGATTCTTCAATCGCACAAGTTTCAATTCTTGTATAGTTAACGCGTAATAACCTATTTAAAACTTGTATACCCATATCATAGTCAATTGATATAGTTGATGAAACAAAACTTTCAACTTCTTCTAACCTACTGATGTGTCACGAGTAAGTTTGAAAAACGAAAAATAGATAGTTTTCACCAAATATCAATCATTTTTATCACAGCTAAATATCAATATTATTCTTCATTTATATCATTTTCTTTTAGAAGGAAGGTTCATGATTATAAATTGGTGACTTATGCAGTTTCCGTCGGCTTTGCAATTTCTTAGATTGTTGAAAGTTAAAAAATTTGAATCTAGAAAAAATCTCAAAAAAGATTCTCTTCAGTTTTAAATGAAATCTTGTACCTCGCCACTTCCTTTTGAATTTTCATTTATTATTCATTACTCCATAATTGGGAACTATTTTTCATTTGTTTCTCTGATTGGCATTCCATTTTCAATTCAACATATTTTCAAGATACTCCACCACTCTGCTGAATGTCCATTGTTTCCATTTTCTGAAAAATTCTCTCAAAATACTATCTTGTTGTCTTTGTTCTGTGTTTGGTGAAGATTTCTTGATAGTCTTCGTTTTTATCTTCTTCATTCGTTTGCGACATTTTTACCATATCTGATCTATAT